TATGAAATGGATGCAACACACTAGATGTGAGAACTGAAATCCCGATTAGTTGTAAATCTGCCATAAGGATATTCCTCATATTGTCTCTGGCACAATCTTCCATAAGACATTATCATTACATATATAAGACCCAGTGTTGTCAAAAATCAAAAGTTAAGAATTTGGTATCTTAGGGCATACACCTGGTTGCAGTGGAGTAAGAATTATTTTCATTAAAAATAGCCAAGGAGGGAAGAGTTAAAGCATCGCATACCCACAATTCCTAAACTGAAATGGCTACTTGGTGTTTAAGAAAAATAAAATAAAATATAAAGACTGGCATGATTTCAAGCCCTGTAATTATTGTAATGCCTATTTTGGCTTGAGGTATACAATATGCAATGTGCAAAGCATTTCGACTCCTTTCAGCCCAATTCTTTTTTCTTTTTCCCCTGGCTGGCTTGAATTTATAGCTGAAGGAAAGAATTGAATGATGGGAGCAGGTCTTCCCTGGAAGGACATCAGTTTCCTAAGGAGAGATTGATCTATAAGACAAGGGAGTCCTTATAGAACAAAGGGCAAAGAACTTCCATACTTCTCCATAAGGAGGTGGAAAATCTATTTGGACAACTCCTTTGCCTTTATTGCAATGTTGTCCTTCTGTTGTTTCCGTTGGACTGACTCACCTCTGAGAAACTTCAGCCAGGGATGGGATTCAATTTTTTTAACAACTGGTTCTGTGGGTGTGGTTTAGTTGGTGGATGTGGCTTGGTGGTCATGTGACTGGCTGGGTGTAGCCAACTCAACATTGAGGCACACATCTCCTCACCTGGCCTCTCATGACTCTGGGGATGCTGCAACAGTCATAAGTGTGAAAAATGGTCATGTCACTTGTTTCAGTGCCATTGTAACTTTGAATGGTCACTCCACACAAGCAAAGTACCAGCAAAGGAGAGGAAAAAAACTCCAGAGAAGTTCCAGAGACAGGAAGTCTAGTCCTGCCAAGAATGTAATAAGGGTTAACGGAGAGGCAGTTTCTGTAAGCAACACCATAATGTTTCCTTCCTGCCTTCCTTACAGGATTAGGCCAGTAATTTCTTCTAACAACCAGTTCTCCGAACTGCTTAGAATGTTAACAACCGGTTCTAGAGAATAGGTGCAAACCTGTAGAATCCCACCCCTGCCTTCAGCTCATGAAAAGCCCTCTGCAAACATTACCAGTCATTTCGCTCTCATTTTCCTTTCCTTTCTAACATGGCACCAAGAGTTCTCAGGCAGCTCCCAGGTTCAGTCACAGATTTCAAGGGGGAGGGGAGCCCAGCATCTCTGGCAGCCGGCTGCTTCGACCCATTGCCCCATCTCAGAGGCCTTCTGTGGGTCCCCCTGCTTCATTGAGCCATGGTGACAGCCATTTTTAGATTCAAAAATGTTCTTAAGGTATAAAGTATTATAAAATACAAAATACAAAATACAAAAGTAAACAGAAGAACAATGGAAGGTGAGAAGGGAAAGGGGGAAGAGAAGTGAGGAAAGATAGAAGGGGAAAACAAGTAGAATTAAAGCAGTAGAGACCTCTCCCTTTAGCCAGTTGCGGATTCAGCCAATCCAGAGGTGTGAAGATGTTATTGCACCGGCCGCTCTGAGAACCAGATAAGCTGGCATTCCCATGGCCATCTTCTGCTGGCTCTCAAAGTGAAACTACCCACATGGCCCTTCTCCCTAATACATTCCCCAAGAGGTGAGAAAATCTCAGTGCGCTTCGGCACCAGGATACCAGTTATAAAATAACAGTTGTAACAGGCAATAGTAATGAATCAAATTTAAGCCCCCCACCCCTTCTCCCACTAGAATGGCAGTATCACTGTTAGGGATCTGACAAAAAGACTCAAGATCTGGCATTTCCTGCAGGCCCTGGGATAGGGTGAGATGAGTTAAATGAACTTATTGTGGTTTAATGGGAAAGTTGAGCTATGTGTTCAAGTCTTTTGGTTTTAACATTTTTTATTCTAAGTAGGTGCTTTTTTATGTTTTGGATAGGAGCCACCCATCCAGTTTGGTACAAGAAGGGTGGCCATATACATGTTTTAAATAAATAAAGATCCCACAGCAAAATAATCAAATTTGACAGCAAAATAATCAAATTTGAGCCATGTGGTTTTCTTTCCCCTCCTCCCCCCAAAAATTAAAATAGACGCAAGAATGGAAGCCTCCCGCCCATTGCTTTTTATGCCCTTAAACTCATCCATTGTAAATGTTTTTTTATTTACTTACTTACTTATTTACTTACCTACCTACCTATTAAATTTATGTGCCACCCATCTTGCCTAGAGGTGGTATGTAAGAAAGTCCTGAGAAATGGAGCCAAGAGATACTGCCCAGGGAATGATCAGATAAGAGAAGGCTTAGCCTGCAGCTGCATAATGGGTAGAGAAAGACGCTCAGGAAGAATCCTAACGTCTCAGACTGTAAAAGTGACAGTGGTAGACAAATACCCCAATAATGTTTGGCTAGACAATTGGTGGAATGCAGGCTACAGAATTATGCAAGTGGGCTGAGATCTGGTTGGAATACTGTACCACAAAATGCTAGATCAGTTGCTTCTCCTTAAACTAGCTTAGAGTGAGGAACCTTATCAAGACGGTTTGAAAGAAATCAGTTCTATAAATGACAATAAGTAGGGAGAGAGTTAATGCATGGAGGGAAATGTATTAACTCTCAGTAACTTCACAAAATGGAAAACTAGGCAGAAACAGACAATGCACTGGCATAATATTCCATGCAAAGCATAATTCAAATAAACTGATTGAATCAGCAGTGTCAGACTGCTCCAAAGCAAAATGGTGCAATGTAATTAATGATAATGGTAATGGAAGCAGAATCTCTGCCATCAAAAGAGATATTTCTCCTTTATACAGCAGTTATTAGTTCTTCTCTTCTGTCCCTCTCAGAAAATGTTGTTGGCAAAAGGAAGTAGTCCAACTAAAAGCCACAAAGATCTTCCAATGGAAAAATGTGGAAAAGGGAGCTATAGGTAGTAGGATTCTGCCACTCAGGAGTTAGACGAGACTGGTAATTTGTGCCCCCAAGAAGCAGTGTAAGGTCTAAAGGGAATGTATCACTGAATTGTACATTATAGACTGAAAGTAGAGCTACCCAGAGTTGCTTAGATGAGATGGATGATACAACTTGAATTAATAATAATTACTCTGTTTACACCTTTCATCTGAGTCTGGGAGTGGGTAACTTTGAGTCTGTGAGTTTCTGAGTCTGGGAGTGGGTAACTTTGAGGGTGAACAGTCTTTTCCTTGATGGAGATTTCAAAGAGAGACTCATTGCTCATGTGCTTGGATTGCTCTTCCTGGATTTTAGGACACTGAGCATTTGGGTTCAATAAAGTCAATGATGGATCCCCAGAAGATTTCCAGAAATGTTATTCTTCAGTTATGAAAAGAAGTGAGACACAGTGTCTGTGCATTTGTGTGTGTAAGTATGAAAGTCTATCTACCTATAACAGGGGCACAAAAACAAAGGCCTGGGGCCTACCAACATGTGTTCTATACTCAAGGGTGGGATTCAAAAATCCCAGCAACTGATTCGCTGCCCAATGGCTGGGTGGGCATGGCCATGATGGGTGTGGCCTACTGGAACTTCCAGGAGGGCCATTTTTCACCTTCCCAAGGGTCCAGAGGCTTCCCTTGTGCCTCTTGGGAGTCAAAAATGGCCTCCTCCGGGCTCTGAAGGCCCTCCGGAAGCCGGAAACAGGCCCCGTTTCGCAACTTTTGATACTTCCGTTACTTCCGGTAGAGGTGTTTTTCACCTTCCCAAGGGTCCAGGGGCTTCCCTCAGGCCTCTTGGAGGTCAAAAATGGCCTCCCCAAGTTTCTGGAGGCCCTCCAGAAGCGAGAAACAGGTGTGTTTCCAGACTTCCGGAAGGCCCATTTTTCCTCCTCCCAGAGCCTCCACGTGGACCCTGCACTTACCTGCATCAAAAATGGGCCATGTGGAGACTCCTGGGAGGGGAGGGGTGGGAGGGGCCAGCCAGTCGGTTCAAATAACGGTTTGGCAAATCAGATGCAAATTTAACATCCAGTTCCCTTGAACCAGTCCAAACTGATAGAATCCCAGTTATAGATCCCTGTCTATACTCCTCAGAGCACAAAGGTTGACACTTATTTGAATTTTGGAAAATTCTCAATGGGAGGGCAAATGCAATTATTGTATTTCTTAAAACCCTTAGTCCAGATTTTCTCCATCATCACTACCTAGTGGTCTTTTCACCTGAAGCATGGACCCTCTTCTGTAAACTGCCTCCTTTTCATTTCAGCAATCCCCCCCCCCAAACTGGACCATTACTTTTGTAATTAAATTCTGAACATGCCCATATAAACCTGATTTATTTGGATTTTATTTTATTTGGGCTTATTTAATTAGCCTTTGGATTAACAGATGTTCTACATCAAACTCCAGCCTGGCACCCCTTTCCATAGGACGTGTCCAGTATCCATCAGTCTGGCTGCCTAATTATTTATTCCACCCACTCCTGATCCCCAAGACATGGTGATGTCATCCCGCTGGAAAGCCAGAGCAATACATAGCGCGGTCTCTTAACAAGATAAAAAAGAAGCAAACTGCATTATAAGGTATCGCGTCAAGCAAACAAGAGAAGGCTTGCCAAGTACAAGAAAGGAACAGAAACAAGAGTTGGAAAACAGACATTAGGTACCACCAAGGAGTAAAACCTAAGCAGCTTCACTGCAGGGCAGTGGAAGTGGAAGAAAATCAGAAGCCAAGATAGGATCCCACTGGCCGTGACAAAAGAGAGAGAGAGAGCAACTCTGCATGATGACCAACCCAAGCTATGAAGCCCATATTCCTGTCCCCCCAAATCCTTCTCCTTACCCTGAAGAAAAACCTCATGAAGAGTCTGATTCACTTAAATTCCATGTTGAACCAGCATCTTCTCTGGGCTATGGGGCAGCTTCCTCAATGCCAGAACCCCCACAGTACCAGATGTACCAGGATCCACCTTCTGCAAAGCCCCGACAAGATCTATTTGTTGAATCTCAGGAGGATATCTTTATTTCACACATCCAGACCTCCAGTGAGCCTGACTACCTGCGCTACTCCATCTGCACCATGTTCTGCTGTTTCCTACCCTTCGGAATTGTGGCTGTGATTTATTCCATAAAGGTGAGTTTGCAGCCATGGTTTATTCTGTAAAGGTAAATTTCTCTGGGAACGGGTGCTGCAGGTGGCAGAGAGCTTGGACTTTTTATTTTCCCCGAAGACCCTCTTAGTTCTATTTGGGAAAAATGAAGGGGACAGAATCATATGGTTTAAAGGAGGTGGGCTCCAGCTTCTGGAACTCATCAAGAGCCTCTTTCATAGCTCCAGTACCATGAAATGTTCCTCAGGGGCTGTGGGGCTACAAAAAAGAAGATTAGTAAGGGGACAAGTAAGAGAGTATAAAGTAGTGGCATTTGCAGAGGAACAGAATATGTGACACCATGATATCTTCACTGAGGACTAATTGCCTGCTTTTCCTTCTTAGAGTATACATATTTAACTCTTCATTCATTTGTTTCATTCATTTGCATTCTGCCAGATTTTGTACATTTATTTGCAGACGCTTTTCCTCTAGGAGCTCAAAGTGTTAGGCATGGGTAGGGTCCCTATCTTTCATTGATACCATACAGCCCTTTTGAAGTAGCTTGAGTTGAAAGAATGAATGGCACAGCTTTATCCAATTAACTCTTGGTCAGAGGGAATTTGAACTTCAATGCAATCACTAGATAGATAGATATAGATGATAGGTAGGTAGGTAGGTAGGTAGGTAGGTAGGTAGGTAGATGTAGAGATAGATAGATAGATAGATAGATAGATAGATAGATAGATAGATAGATAGATAGATAGATAGATA